CAGCAAAACATAACAACAAAATACAAAAGATAACACAAGAAGACAAGAAAATAAATTTGATTGCATATTTATCAAAGGTCTATCTGCACGCCTATAAGGTGGGAGGGAAGTGGGAGGAGGGAAGTGGGAGGAGAGGAGGGGGAGGAGGGGGAGGGAAGAGGGAGAAGGGGGAGTGGAGAGGTGGAGATGGAGGAGGAGGGAGGGGAAGAAGGGAAAGTGAAAAGAAAGAGGAAGAGGGAGAGCTAGAGGTAGAGAGGAAAGAAGGAATGAGAGACAGAGGAAGAGAAAGAAGTGAGGACAAGAGGGAGGGAGACAGACAGACAGACAGACAACAGACCCCAGCGAAACCCACCGCCCCAAAACAGCTGGCGCACAGCCGTGGCCCATTCCCGCTCCCTCCCCCAACCCCCAACCCACTCCCCACCCCCGCCCCCCATTTCAACCCCCGTCGGCCCAGCAAGGTGCGACACAGCTGGAACGGAAGGAGTGCCCATCCGCCCGCCCGCCCGCCCGCCCCTCGCAGCAGGAGGAGCAGGAGAAGCAGGAGGAGCAGAAGCAGGGGAAGCAGGAAGAGCAGAAGCGGGAGAAGCAGGAAAAGAAGAAGCAGGAGACGCAGGAGAAGCAGGAGGAGCAGGAAGAGCAGGAGAAGAAGAAGGAGAAGGAGGAACAGAAGCAGCAGGAGGAGCAGAACCAGAGGCAGGAGGAGCAGAAGCGGGAGAAGCAGGAAAAGAAGAAGCAGGAGACGCAGGAGGAGCAGGAAGAGCAGGAGAAGAAGGAGGAGGAACAGAAGCAGCAGGAGGAGCAGAACCAGAGGCAGGAGGAACAGAAGCAGCAGGAGGAGCAGAACTAGAGGCAGGAGGAGCAGGAGCAGCAGCAGCCACAGCCAGTACATCACCCGCGGCACAGCTGGTCCCGCAATGCCCCGCCACAATACCGGGCGCAGCTGGTAGTCGCGCTGTGCGGGGATGTTACGAGAGGCGGGTAAAGGTAATAGGGGGGAGGGGGGAGAGGAGGGGGGAGATAGAGGAGGGGGGGTAGGGAGCCAGCGGAAGTATCGATCATATCCTCCTCCACCTCCTCCCTTTCCTCCTCTTCCTACTCCTCCTCCTCTTCTTCTTTCTCCTCCTCCTCCTCCTCCTCCTCCTCCTCCTCCTCCTCCTCCTCCTCCACTTCTGCCATCGCCTCTATCTCCTCCTCCCTTCCTCCTCCTTTCCTCCTCCTCCTCCTCCGCCTCTTCCTCCTCTGCCTCTTCCAATCCTTCCCTCCTTCCCTCTCCTGCCCAATCCATTCTGTTTTCCCCCCTCCATTCTCCTTTCTTTACCGCCATGTAATCCATACGCTAATACTTCTTCTCTTCCCTTGCCCCTTTTTCCTCTTCTTCTTCCCCCTCCTCCTCCTCCTCCTCCTCCTCGTCCTCCGGTTCCCCTCGCCTACTCCTATTCCTACTCCTACGCTTCCTTTTCGATCTATTTTCTTCTTCTCTTCTTCCTTTATTCTTTTTATTCCTGCTTCTTCTTCTTCTTTTACTCTACTTTATCTTCATCCATATCTCTATCTTTATCTTTATCTTTATCATCTTTTTCTCCTCCTCCTCCTGCCTTCCCACATGCAGATCTACCACCCTCGCTCCCCCCCCAACCCCCAACCCCCCTCATCCCTACCCCCACCCCCACCTCCATCTCCCCCCTACCCACACCTCCACCCCTCCCTTCCCCACCTCCCCCCTACCCCCCTCCTCCACCCCCTCCCTTCCCTTCCTCCACCTTCTAACCCATCAAACAGCTGGCGGAAACCTGCTTACCCCCCCCCCCTCCCACATGCTCTCCTCTCCTCTCCTCTCCCATTCTCTTTCGCCCTCCCCCACCCTCTCACACTCCGTCAGAGCTCCCCCATCCCCTCCCATTCTCCCTCCTTCATTACCCGCACCCTTTCCCCCCCCCCTCCTCACCTTCCCTCCATCTCCCCCTCCTCCCCCTCCTTTCCACCCCTCCCCCCCACCGACCTATATCCTTCCCTCCTTTTCCTCTCTATTGCTACATCTACTTCTACGTCTCCTCCCCCCTCCCTCCCCCTCCCCCTCCCCCTTCAAAATCCACGCCCATTTCTCGCACTAACCCCACCCCACCCTACCTCCTTCCCTTCTCTCCTATATTCATTGTCATTCCTCTTTCTCTTTCTTCTCTTCTCTTCTCTACTCCTTCTCTTCCTCTTCTCGTTTTTTTTTTCTTTCTCCTCCCGTTCTCTTTTCCTCTCTTTCTCTTTCTCTTCTCTTTTCTTCTCTCTCTTTCTCCTCTCGTTCTCCTTTTCTCTCCTTCTCTCTTTCCCGTTCCCCTTTTCTCTCCCTTTTTCTCTCATTTTCTTCTCTTTCTCTTTCTCGTTCTCGTTCTCGCTCTCGTTCCCCCCCAACACACCCCCACCTCCATCTCCCCCCTACCCACACCTCCACCCCTCCCTTCCCTTCCCTTCCCTTCCCTTCCCTTCCCTTCCCTTCCCTTCCCTTCCCTTCCCTTCCCTTCCCTTCCCTTCCCTTCCCTTCCCTTCCCTTCCCTTCCCTTCCCTTCCCTTCCCTTCCCTTCCCTTCCCTTCCCTTCCCTTCCCTTCCCTTCCCTTTCCCTTCCCTCCCATCCCATCCCCTCCCCCCCTTCCTCCTACCTTCCATTCCTCCTCCCCACCCCCTCCTCTCTCCACCGATCCCTTCCCTTCCCTTCCCTTCCCTTCCCTTCCCTTCCCTTCCCTTCCCTTCCCTTCCCTTCCCTTCCCTTCCCTTCCCTCCCATCCCCTCCCCCCCTTCCTCCTACCTTCCCTTCCCTTCCCTCCCATCCCATCCCATCCCCTCCCCTCCCTTCCCTCTCCCCTTCCCCTCCATCCCTCTCCTCTTCCCCCACCCCTTCCCTCTCCTCTTCCCCCTCCTCTACCCTCCCCTTCCCTTCCCCTCCATCCCTCTCCTCTTCCCCCACCCCCTCCCCTCCTCCCGTCCCTCTCCCCTTCCCTTCCCTTCCCTTCCCTTCCCTTCCCTTCCCTCCCATCCCCTCCCCCCCTTCCTCCTACCTTCCCTTCCCTTCCCTTCCCTTCCCTTCCCTTCCCTTCCCTTCCCTTCCCTTCCCTTCCCTTCCCTTCCCTTCCTCCACCTTCTAACCCATCAAACAGCTGGCGGAAACCTGCTTACCCCCCCCCCACCCCCACCTCCATCTCCCCCCTACCCACACCTCCACCCCTCCCTTCCCTTCCCTCCCATCCCCTCCCCCCCTTCCTCCTACCTTCCATTCCTCCTCCCCACCCCCTCCTCTCTCCACCGATCCCTTCCCTTCCCTTCCCTCCCATCCCCTCCCCCCCTTCCTCCTACCTTCCCTTCCCTTCCCTTCCCTTCCCTTCCCTTCCCTCCCATCCCATCCCCTCCCCCCCTTCCTCCTACCTTCCATTCCTCCTCCCCACCCCCTCCTCTCTCCACCGATCCCGTCCCGTCCAATCCACGAGGATCCCAATCCTCGCCCCCTTCCTCATAATTCCCTTCCCGTCCTGCATCAGGTGCACCTCAAACCTACTCCTACCTGACTGAACTGCCCGAACATGAACATCCAATCCCCTCACTCCTTTCACTCTCCCCTTCCCTCCATCCCTCTCCTCTTCCCCCACCCCTTCCCTCTCCTCTTCCCCCTCCTCTACCCTCCCCTTCCCTTCCCCTCCATCCCTCTCCTCTTCCCCCACCCCCTCCCCTCCTCCCCGTCCCTCTCCCCTTCCCTTCCCCTTCCCCTTCCCCTCTCCCCTCTCCCCTTCCTACCCCCCCCTTCCCACCAACCATCGGCAAGCAGAGATCAAAAATATGTAGCTCTGCCAACCTTTAGAGGAAAAAAAAAGGCAGTCCCTTTGAACCAGCCATCTAATTAGAGCCTTTTTCCGTGCTTCCCGAAACGCGCATCTTTATCGAGGGAAAAAAAGAGAGAGTGATCGTGAGTGAGTGGGTGAGTGAGTGAGTGAGTAAATAATAGTATGATTGAGTGAGTGAGTGAGTGAGTAAATAATAGTATGATTGAGTGAGTGAGTGAGTGAGTGAGTGAGTAAATAATAGTATGATTGAGTGAGTGAGTGAGTGAGTGAGTGAGTGAGTGAGTGAGTAAATAATAGTATGATTGAGTGAGTGAGTGAGTGAGTAAATAATAGTATGATTGAGTGAGTGAGTGAGTGAAGGGGTGGGTGAGTGAGAAAGATAAAGAAAGATATAAAGAAAGATGTAAAGAAAGAGAGGAAAAGAGATGAGAGAGCAAGGGAGCAACAAACAAACAGACGCGAAGAACTACAACCGCCTCTCATCCATTCCAGAAAACCAACTAGCCAGAGTAGGCCATGCACCGGGGAGGGAGAGAGAGAGGGGGGAGGGGAAGAAGCGGGAAGTGGGGAGGGGGAGAAGTGAGGGAGAGAGAGGGGGAGTAGTGGGGAAGAAGCAAGAAGTTGGGAGGGGGAGAAATGGGGGGGGGGAGAGAGAGGAGGAGGAGGAGGGAGAGAGAGAGGGGGGAGGGAATGAGAGAGAGGGGGAGGGGAAAAGCGAGAAGTGGGGAGGGGGAAAAAGCGTGAAGTGGGGAGGGGGATGAAGTGGGGAAGGGGGGAGGGGGAGAAGTGGGGGGGGAGGAGCAGCTTTGATCGTAGCAGTCTATCTCTGCGAGTGGCGGTCAGGGCCGGCAGGAATTAAAACGGGAGATAGAATGGAACGAATAAATATGAATGTGTGGGAGGTGGAAGGGGTGAGAGAAGGCGGGAAGGAGGGAGGGAGGGAGGGAGGGAGGGAGGGAGGGAGGGAGAGAGGGAGGGAGAGAGGGAGAGGGAGGGAGGGAGAGAGAGAGAGAGAGAGAGAGAGAGAGAGAGAGAGAGAGAGAGAGAGAGAGAGAGAGAGAGAGAGAGAGAGAGAGAGAGAGAGAGAGAAAAGAAAAAGAGACAAACAGACAGACAGACAGACCGAGACAAGAGACAAAGAGAAAGAGAGAGAAAGCGAGGTATTTGTAATGCTAATGCCGAGTGCTCCACCCTCCCGTCGCTGGATCCCGGGCTCTAAGGCGCCGTCCGTAAGGCCTACATTCCATAAAATAGGCACACCTAAACCCCCTCCCCCTCCCCCTCCCCTCCCTGAGCACCCCCCTCCCCCCCTCCCCGCCCTCTCTCTTCCTCGCTGATCCCCGCGCTGGCGGTTTTTTTCTTGACCTCCTGAGGTATTTTCCGACTGCGTTCAGCCGACACACGTGCGTGCTTACTGGGAAGGAGAAGAGAGGCAGAGAGACACATGTACACACACACACACACACACATACACACGCATGCACATACACATGTATGTATGTATGCATGCACACACACACACACACACACACACACACACACACACACACACACACACACACACACACACACACACATACACACACACACACATACACACCCCACACACACAACCCCCCCTCCCCGCACACACACACCCCACCCACGCCTCTCAAACACCTCCCCACCCTCCATCCTCCACCACCCCGCACCTGCCCCCTCCCCCCACCCCTCCCACACACAAAATACCCAAGTATCCGCCCCCTTCAACCACCTCCAACCCCATTAAAAATAAGGAGTACACACACGGGCACTGGAAACCCCTCTCAGCGCTGTCAGTCACGCGAGGGAGAGGGGAGAGGGAGGGAGGGAGGGAGGGAGGGAGGGAGAGAGCGAGAGAGCGAGAGAGAGAGAGAGAGAGAGAGAGAGAGAGAGAGAGAGAGAGAGAGGAGAGAGAGGGAGAGAGGGAGAGAGGGAGAGAGGGAGAGAGGGAGAGAGGGAGAGAAGGGAGAGAAAGGGAGAGAAAGGGAGAGAAAGGAGAGAAGAGAGAGAGAGAGAGAGAGAGAGAGAGAGAGAGAGAGAGAGAGAGAGAGAGAGAGAGAGAGAGAGAGAGAGAGAGAGAGGGAGGGAGGGAGAGAGGAAGAGGAGGAGGAGGAAGGGGAAGAAGAGGAGGAAAATCAGAAGAAGCAGAAACTGGAAGAGGAAAGAATAGAAGGAAAAAGGGCGGCCCGAGAGAGCGTGAGAGGGCTAACACCAAAGGGAGGAGGAGGAGCTGAGGAGTGGTCTGAGGTTTGCCACACCCCTGCGACCCCACGCCCACGACCCCACGCCCACGAGCCTCCACCCACGACCCCACGCCCACGACCCTACGCCCACGACCCCACGCCCACGACCCTACGCCCACGACCCCACGCCCACGACCCCACGCCCACGAGCCTCCACCCACGACCCTACGCCCACGAGCCTCCACCCACGACCCTACGCCCACGAGCATCGAACCACAACCCCCACGCCCACGTCCCCTACGCCCACGACCCCCACGCCCACGACTCCCCTACCCACACCACGCCCCGCCGCCCACGCTACGACCCACCCCCCACCCTCCCCTTCCCCCCTCTGGCCTCACTTTCCACCAAGACGAACTACCCGTCGTCGAGATGAAAAAAGAAAAGAGAAAAAAAAAAAATAGAAAAAAAAGAAAAAAGAAAACGAAAGAAAAAAGAAAAGAAAAAAGAAAAAGAAAAAAAATATAAAGGAAAGAAAAGAAAAAAAGGAAGAAAAAAGAAAGAAAAAAAGAAAGAAAAAAATAAAGGAAAGAAAAGAAAAGAAAATTAAAAAAAAGCCATTTGAAGCAAGAAATCCCTTCGGAACGGGACCGGGCCAGCCAGACAGGCGCCTGAGGTTTCGCTCGGGTCAAAGTCGGGTCAAAGGGGGATTCCACAAGGGGGGGGGGGGCGCAGTGTGGGCTGGAATAGCGGGCGGGAGGTCGTAGGCGTGAGGGGAGGGGGGGAGGAGGTCGTTGACAGGGGGGGAGGCCGTGGGCGGGAGGGGGGGAGGAGGTCGTGGGCGTGTGGCAAACCTCAGACCACATTTGACTTCTCCCTCCCTTCCCTCTCCCCTCAGTTCCATCCGCTCTTTCCTTTCGCCTCTCTCTTTTTTCTCGTCTTTCATCTTTTTTCCTCCTCCTCCTCCTTTCCCCTCCCTTCCTCCCCCTACTACCCCCCGCCCACCTTCCCCCTCCCCCCACATTCTCCCCCTCCCCCCTCCCCCCTCACAAACCGCGACCAAAGCTGATCGGAAACGCATTAGCTGGATTCGTCCCGCGCTCTTCCGGGGCGGAGGGGCCGCTGAGTCCGCGCGGGGGGGTGGGGGGTGAGGGAGGGAGGGGGGGAAGGGAATGAGGAGAGAGAAAGGGGAAGGGGACGTTAAACGGAAAATAAGAGGAATGGGGTAAAGCAAGAGAAAGAGAAAGAGAAAGAGAAAGAGAGAGAGAGAGAAAGATAAGGGGAGGGAGGGAGAGAGAGAGGAGAGGGAGGGAGGGAGGGAGGGAGGGAGGGAGGGAGGGAGGGAGAGAGGGAGGGAGAGAGGGAGAAAGACCAGATGGGGGGGGAGAAATAAAGACGGAAGGAGGGAAAGACTCCTTACCTTTCCCCCCCTCACCCCCTCCCTCACCCTAACCCCTTCCTCCTACCTTTCCCCCCACCCCCACCCCCTTCCCCCTACCTTTCCCCCCACCCCCACCCCCTTCCCCCTACCTTTCCCCCCATCCCCACCTCCTCCTTCCCCCTTCCCCCTTATCTCTCCCCCCTCCATCCCCTCCCTCTCCCCCAACCCCCACCCACTACCATCATCTGATCCATTATGCCGAAGGTCTTTTATCATTACCGTTAATTACTCGAGCAGAATCCCACCTTACCTCCCTACCGCCTCTTCCTTCTTCTCTCCTCCTCTATCCCTCTCCTCTATTTACTCTTGTCGTACATTATCCCTAATTATAATTATTATTATTATTATTATTATCATTATTATTATTATTTTCTTCTTTTCCTTTTTTTCTTCTCCTCCTTCTTCTTCATTTCCAAACCCACTATCCCCAATACACCCAAGGACACACCTCCCCTCCCCCTCCCCCTCCCCCCATCCCAACTGGACCCCACAAAAACTCAACCCCCCCACCCACCCCCACTCCCACCCAACTCCATCCAACAAGAAGTCCCTCCAGCGCCCCCCCCCCTACCTCCTTCCATCCCCAACTATATCGCCCTCCTCCCCCTCCTTCCACCCCCCACCCCCCCACATCCCCACCATCACACACTCACTCCCCAGAGCAAACGTAAACAAACTCCCCCCTCCCCCTCCCCCCCTCCCTTCCGCCCTGCCCACTCATTCAAGGCAGACAGGTGCGTTTACAAGGGCCGCCCTCCTCCTCCTCCTCCTCCTCCTCCCCCTCCTCCTCCTCCTCCTCCTCCCCCCCTTCCACCCAGATGGTTTATGACGTCACAAGGGCCCCTTCGAGTTGCCCTGCGCCGGACTTTTGCTATGGGGGTGGGTGGGGGTGATGGGGGAAGGGAAGGGAGAAGGGGAGAAGGGAAGGGAAGGGAAGGGAAGGGAAGGGAAGGGAAGGGAAGGAAGGGAAGGGAAGGGAAGGGAGAAGGGAAGAGAAGGGAAGGGGAAAGGGGAGAAGAGAAGGGAAGGGGGAAGGGGTGAAGAGAAGGGAAGGGGGAAGGGAGAAAGGGAGGGAAGAGGAAGAGAGGGAGGTAGGGAGGGAGGAGGAAGAGAGGGAGGGAGAGGGGAGAGGGAGGGAGAGAGGGAGAGAGGGAAGGAGCGAGAGATGTAGGGATGGATGGAGGGAGTGAAGAATGGGGAGGGGTGGAACAGTGGGAAGAGGAGAAAGAGAGAGAGAGGAGAAAGAAGAATGGGAGAAAGAGAAATTGAGGGCGACAAACATCTAGGGAAAGAGAGTAATGAAAGAAAGACGAAAACAATGTAAAGTAATGTGGAAAGGAGGAGGAGAAGGACGAGAAGTAGAAGAAAAGAAAGGGTGAGGAACAGGAGGATGAAAGGAGAAAGGGAAAAGGGGAAAAAAAGAAAGGGACAGGGGGGGGGGGTAGGAAATGCAAGGAGAACGAGTTGAGAAGAGGGAGGGGGATGAAGCAAACAGAAAGGAGAACGTAACACGAAACGGGGAGAATAGGGGGGGAGGGAAGAGACCGAAAATAAGGAGTAAGAAGACAATGAAGAAAAGGTGAGTTGAGGGTGAGTTACCCGCCCCCCTCACATGTCCTCACTAACCCGAAATCTATCCATGTCAGACAAAGAAAAAGAAATATCTAAAAATAAAAAAAAAATAAAAATAAATAAAGATTAACGGATAAGCAAAGAAAGGAATGAGACAACGCGACCGATCATTAGAAAGCGTTGGTAATCCCCTTGTCCCTCCCCCCTCCCCACTTCCCCTGCCCCTGTCCCTGCCCCTTCCCTCTACCCCCCTACCCTACCCTTCACAACACTCCTGCGACGTAAACATTAAGCCATATTCATCCACGAACACTTAACATCGAAAAAAAAATCCAACAAGAAAAAAAAAACGACTCATAGATTCTCTTTCTCTCCCTTTTCGTTCTAATAAATCAACACGAGAAACAAACCGCAGGAAACACCGCATGCCCCCCAAAAACAGCATAACATTCCCGAGTCAAGTCAGTGGCCCGGGGATTCGAACACACTCGACTGGGGAGCGTGTCAGTGCATGACAATAAACACCTGCCACGGCGTCTCGATGGCCAGCAAATGACTTTGAAAGCAAACAAAGAGACAAACTAAACACGGGTGCCATTAACGGAAGTGTGGGAATTAATGGACGGGGGGGAATTAGAGATAACTGTGATGGAGAATGGCATGCGAGGGGCAAGGAACGATAAAGAAGAGGGTCAACGATAAAGCGGGAGGAGGAGGGAAAGAGGAGGGAAAAATGAGGGGGGAGAGGAAGACAGGAGGAGGGGAAGAAGAGGGAATGAGGAGAGAAAAATGAGGGGGGAGAGGAAGACAGGAGGAGGGGAAGAGGGAATGAGGAGAGAAAGATGAGGGGGGAGAGGAGGGAAAAATGAGGGGGAGAGGAGGGAAGAAGAGGAAAGGAGGAGGGGGAAGAAGAGGGAAGGAAGAGGGGGAGATAAAAACAAAGAGAGAGAGGGCATCAGCGTGAAGACAAAGCATATAATTTACATGCACAGAGACACACAGATAGAGAGATGGATAGATGAAAGAACGAGGAGAAGGATAGAGAGAGAACCAAAGAGAAACAGAGAGAGACAGGAACATATAGAAAGAGAATGAGGACGGAATAGAAGTAAAGAGAGAAACAGAGAAAGATAAGAGGGAGGCACACAGACATGGTCGCTCATTAAGCATACCAAGCACGTGATCGCACACCAGCTATCCAGAATATCTAATGGCGATGCACGTGTTACAACAAGAACTCAATGACAGTGACCACCAAACCATAATAATTAGAAAAAAGAACGAGTAATAACAATAAAATGAACAATACTATGAATTATGATAACAACGAAATACTAATAATAATAAGAAGAAGAAAAAGCAAAGGAAGAAGAGTAGTAATAACAGCAATAATGATAATGATAATAATAATATCGATAGTATCAATACTAATAATCATCATCACCATTACAATTACTACCACAATAACAATCATCACCACGCTCATAAAAAAAATAATAATAAAAAAAAAATAAAAAAATAAAACAGCAACACTACCACAGAAGAGTACGAGGTACGAGAAGGCACCACAGCCGATCCCCATCACCCATTCAGCACCACAAGAAACATTCCTCTTATAAAAAAGCCCGTTCTCGCCGCCGCCCCCACGCCCCCACGCCCCCACGCCCCCTCGCCGCCGCCGCCGCCGACATCCACGAACCCGATGCCGATCCCACAGCGAACCCGACCGACACACCGACCGACCGAGGGGGTTACCGACGCCGTTGTAGTTAATTGTGTGGTGTTGGTGTTGATCATGGGAAAAGGGAAGGGGAGGGGAGGGGAGGGGAGGGAAGGGAAGGGAAGGGGAAGGAAGGGAAGGGAAAGGGAAGGAAATGAAGGGAAGGGAAAGGAAAGGGAGGGGAAGGGAAGGAAGAGAAAAACAATGGAAGGGAAAGGAAAGGAAGAGATGAGAAGAGACGAGAAGAACGGTAAGAAAAGAAAAGAAGAGAAAATCGCGATCTCTCTCGAAACTTCGTCTCGATTCGACCCCGACAGTCAAAGGACGCGGACAGGATTTCATTCTTTATTCTCCCTCTCTCTCTCTCTCCTATGTTCACTTATACTCTCCCCACTTTTTTTTTCAAATGCACACGGACGCATTATTCGCTCATCTCTCCCTTCTCCCTCCCTTTAAAAACCCACCTATCCTCTCTCCTTCCCTTCTCCCACCTAACCACTCACCCACCTATTCCCTCCTATCCTGTACCCATCCACATTACATCCTATCCTCCCTCACCACTATCTCCCTCCTACCCTCTACCCACCATCACTATCCCCTTCCCCTCCCTCCCTATCTCCCTCCAGCCCCCCTCCCTCACCCCTATCTCCCTCCTACCCTTCCTCCCCTCACCCCCTATCACCCACCTTCCCTTCCTCCCTCAACCCCTATCTCCCACCTATCCTCCTCCCCTCCCTCCCTCACCCCCCTATCTCCCTCCTGCCCCCTCCCTCCCTACTCCCCTATCTCCCTCCAGCCCCCCTCCCTCACCCCTATCTCCCTCCTACCCTTCCTCCCTCACCCCCTATCTCCCACCTACCCTCCCTCCCTACTCCCCTATCTCCCTCCAGCCCCCTTCCCCTCCCTCCCTACTCCCCTATCTCCCTCCAGCCCCCTTCCCCTCCCTCCCTACTCCCCTATCTCCCTCCTGCCCCCTTCCCCTCCCTCCCTCACCCCCTATCTCCCACCTACCCTCCTCCCCTCCCTCCCTCACCCCCTATCTCCCTCCAGCCCCCTTCCCCTCCCTCCCTACTCCCCTATCTCCCTCCTGCCCCCTTCCCCTCCCTCCCTCCTCCCCTATCTCCCTCCTGCCCCCTTCCCCTCCCTCCCTACTCCCTCCCAATATCGACGCAGCGGCGAATCTCCCACCTACGGATCGCCTGGCGTCTTTAAAGGGCCCGACTGCTGTCTCCGCGCGTTCTCTGCTCTTTATCCTATTCTTTATCTTATTTTATTGTTATCTTATATTCTCTTTTCGTTCTTTTTTCTTGATGACGAAATTATTTTTTTTCCATTCATTCTTTATTTTTTTATCCTATTCTTTACCCTCTTTACTGTTATTCTTTTCGCTCTTCCTTCTTAATGATAATTAATTTGTTCTTTC